GCAGGAATAGAGTCTTTCTCTTTGAATATTGCAGTATGGTGGCAGCCTTATGTCCTGGGGTCTAGTTCAGAGACCATACTGATGCTTAAATTAAGTATTAATTAATAGACATTTATTCATGTTTTAAAATCTGATTTTAAGGTTAGTTTAAGTGGTTTTGTGTATGTTTAAAAAAAAAAAGAAAAATCTTCTTATAATGTTCATACCAAATTCTATGAAACACGCGAACTTAGTACCTCTGATTTTTCTGAGTCACTTCTCTATATCTCTTATCATGAATACTCGCTTTCTGTGAGCATCCAAAAGTGGTTTTGAGGATAGGATACAAATAGTCTGCAGACAGCTGTCTTCAAATAGCCCGTAGAAACTGGAAGAGGTAATCTGTCGGTTAATAACAGGATGATATGCAGTGTGATGGCTGATTACCAGCGACATAATTTCTGAAGTTCACTGCAGCACAGAGCTGTTTTAGTCGTGTTTTCTGCAGAACTCGTTTGCTTACTTCTGTAGCCCAGTCCAGTATATGGTGTAGAACTATATCTATATACTTTGGGGATATTCTCTGACTTCTTATCAGTGTCTCTTTGCTATGATCCCTCTCTAAATACCACAAGAAATACACGTAATGGAAACAGAGGTGCTTTATGCAGAAAAGCTGTTGGTATGTTAGAGCTGTTATTGTGCAGCCTCTTACCCATCCTACTCAAAATGCAGCTTTGCTGGAATAAATTTTGTGTATAGCACGCTCGGTTCAGTATCAGAAACCTACAGTTGCTCTCTGTGTTTGACAGGACTGACATACACCATCACTTTTTGACCCATTTTGCTCAAATACTGTTCTATGTATTTGAATGTACCCTTTTCATCATAGGATACATAACCTGTCTGGTGCCTCTTGCAGTGTTTTGTCTGACATTTGCATTAATACTTAGACTGCAGACTAGATTTTAATGTAAAGGTTTTGATAATACGGCTTGCTGTATTTGTTAATTGTCCTTTCACTGCATTTAAGGTGTGAAAACCAAGAGAAAACGCATCTTTCTAAAATCATGCATATCTGAGTAATTGCGTAAACACAATTTTAGTTCTACACTATCTTGCTGTTTCTGTGGTTAGTGTCACGTAATTTTGTGTGTTTAGACTTAAGATTCTATTAAGATAGAGAGCCTTACGTGTGTGCAATTGTTGTAGCTCATTTCTAGTCTTCAAGTTGCCCCCCTTCTTATCCGTTCCCTGTGTTTCAGGTGGTTATCACCATTATAACTGGTCTTCCAGGATGTCGTTGCAGTGATCTGTGCGCTTTCCTTGTAACTTTTAACAAGGAGCATGGCAGGTTTGTACAGTTCTGGTTTTACGGTCTAAAGCAGTGGTCATACTAATGACCAAAGAACTGCTCAGCATGAAGGAAATGAAACTATCAATGTTTCACTTAATTTATTTTATTTTTTTATATATCCCAGTTTCTAATCTGTAAGCAGATGTGTTATAAGAATAAATTCAGTAACTATTATGAGGTACCTTAACTAGTTCTACATAGCACACTGTAGGGTAGGGTATATTACTTCAGGTATCTCATTTAACTGTGTTATGCCAGGTAGATTTGCCCTTAGATTTTAGACGTTCAGACGAGAAAAATAGCAGAGGAGATTTCTTTGTTGATATTCCATATGAAGAACAGCGCAGGTATCACTGTAGATCCATGATGTGTGTCTGGAACTATCACTGATGCTACAGACGGTTAAGAATAATCTCAGAAGGGCCAAATGAATCCGGCCTTAAGCAAGTATGGAAGTCGTCACAATTTGGAGGAAACGGGTGAAGAGCTTCCATTTATTGACCTGTGGCAGCGAGTCAAATGCATTTTTCTTGGAGAAAAGACTATACCAACAGTCCTTACTACAGCATTGTTTTTAATCTGACCTGGTTTCTATTCCACAATAGCAGGAGATATATTCAGGACATCTATTGTATGGCAATAAGATAAATCTTAATAGGAATTTGCCATTCTGTGTGTTGATATAGCTTCTGGCAAATCAAAAAAAGAAATTCTTATCCTTTTAAATCTTACAGCCAAACACCTTAGCATTTAATCTTAGTGGTGTTCTGGACTTTTTTTTGTGTTACCTTTAACTCAGTGTCTTGATATTAGCAAGTTGATTCAGAACAGTTTTGTGGTTCTGTTTTTAGGGCAAACATGTAAGGTGACTTTTGCGTGTTCTGTGATAATACGTTTCGTCACGTTTTCCTGCAAATGTCATCATTATTTTTTATTTTTGCAGTGAAATATTTTCATGCCCAGAGTCTTTTGAATTGGATCCATGTAACTTTTGTTTACTGCATCACTAACAAAGATCAGAATTAATCATATGATGTGCTGCTTTGAAGAAGCTGTTGAACATTGTTTTGTTAAAAAACAACAACAAAAAAACACAAAACCTTTTGGCAGTAATGTAAAGAATGTGCTTATGCTGGAAATGATAGAAAGCCAAGTAAATTCCTCTTTCCCATGTGGTATGAGAGATGTGGAATCTTAGAGCTTGTCAAATTTATTTTTGGTCTGTTGGTTCAAAATAAAAAGAAAACAGAAATATTATATCATAGAATGTTAACTTCTTTCCTTGTTTTCTGTTGTTTAGGTGGATAGTTTATCGGCAAATTATGGATAGTCCAGAATGTTTCAGTGCCACCCACTTCCAGCGTTACCTCTCCAGTGTCCTGGAGGCTCAGCAAAACCACAGCGTCCGTCAGTCCACTTATGCTAAAAAGAACAAGCGTCTCTTAGTGGTCTTGCAAGGGTAAATGTTTGAAACTGTTTCAACTGTTGCACAAAATAAGGGATTTTCTGTTCCCTTCCACTTCCAAGGCATTTTTAAACTTTCCCATCATTTTGAAGCAGGCAGATTTCTGTGCTGAAGTGTGGTACTCCATGAATTCTGTTTTATGTATGTACTAAACTCAGCCTTTCTGTGCCACCTGTTAATTTTATTGCTTGTTACTCCATTGGAAAAAAGGCGTTCGTAGTCTTCCTTCAATCATAAGGAAGGAAGGACTGCATTTGGTGGTTCTTCCCTATTTAGGAGATTGACTGTGGTTTTTGGCTTCTCAAAGGAAGTTTTCTTGCCCTTTCCAGCTGCATCTTAGACTGTGATTAAATGGCACTTTACATATTGGTGCAGCTGAGTGTGGTTTGGTTTTGGTTTTTGGTTTTTGGTTTTTTGCCCTCCCCAGAGGGCCTAGATAGAGAGATATTTGCCCTTCAGAGGCTGGTGAGAGTTCTTCATGCTGGTTAGCTGTCTTTAAAGACTGCTGGGGTACTGGTTGTCTGTCTTTAAAGCCATAGATTTGGATGAGAGCAATAAAGCAGAAATAGCTTGAGACTCTTTTGCAAGTTGGACGCCAGAGCTGCAGCTGAATAGTACCAAATATTACCTCCTATAGTGTTGTCTTAATATTTAGAGGGAGTGTTGTGTGTTGTAGTCCCTGTTAGTACACAAATCAATTATTACTCCTTTTTCCCAACAGACCTGTATTTTGCTGATTGATAACCAAACAAAAAACCATGGAATAAACACTCAACTTTTTACAGAGTGCAGAAAACTGTTAGCTGAGTTCTCGCCCTGCCTTTCATGTATGATTTTCTTTGAAGGTTTGCTAAAACGCTGACATTGTTTTGATGAAAACTGGGGGTGGAGCACCTCCCTATTTCTTTCAGAGGAAAATCTGTTGTCTTTAAGGCACTAGGTGACTGAGCGCGTTTTGGTAAATTTTAATTTGAGTTGCTTCAGAATATAAATTAATTTTAGGAAGTGTGATATGGTATGACATAAAAATTATAATTAATATCTCTCAAGTGCTTACAGTACCTTAAACTTTTGCAAGATCAGTGACTGCTAGAGAATCCTTAATAAATAAATTCATAGTTTGCAGAATGAAATGGTCCATTCAGTCTGCAATATTTTTTGCTCCAAATAGAAACTTAAAAGCCTAAGCTACTGTGACTCTTACTGAATTTTTTTAAACAGAGCATGAGTGCGCTACAGTAAGCGTAAGAATCAATCTTTGCTTTTTTCCAAGTATTTAGCATCTTTGTCATCGATGCTTTGTCTTTGCATTTCTGGTAGTCCTTGCTTTGATTCTTCGGCAGTATTAGCTAAAAAAAATGTGACACAAACTTTCAAAGTTCCAGTTGATGAAAGATATGAAGAAAGAGAGGCGGTATTGCATCCGAGTTGTTATCCAAGTAAATGTTTGTGCAATTTTTGCACAGCACTTCTCATTTGGTATGTTTTGGGCCTCTGTACTTCAGAATGAACGGCTCTGTAAGGATTATGACCTCTTAAACTACTGGCAGAAAGCAGGCTGTCAAAAATACACTATTCGCTCGTTCCAGCAGGAGATATTGAAATAAGACTGATTAACATGTTTCGGATAAATGCCACTTTGTTTGTGGTATAAAGGTGAAGACTCTGAGCCATCTGTTTGACATTTCCATCTCACGTGTAGCACTTGAACTAGCATCGTCTCCAGTAAGTTTGCCCACTGTGTTTGGGTCATTAGCAGTAACGCAGACTAGCTTGAGGGAAGTACTACCCTAATCTGGCTGGAGTGCTTTTGGTTCCCAGGCTACCGAGTGTTCATTTCTTTCACTAAGGCCATACATACGGAGCTTAGCATTTTCTTCATTATGGTCCATTCTGATAGTGCTAAAAAGCACTAAAAAGCATAATTATTTCCGTGTTAGAGTGAGATTTTTTTTTTTTCTTAAAGTTAGTAGGAGTGGTATAAAGTCTAGTGATGAAGTAACTGATATTCTGGTAGCAGCACTGCCTTCAAGAATGGTTAATTATAGGTTTTCCATTCTTTTCGGAGTAGTTGAGTGTTGGTATAGACAGCTTTAAAGAAGCTGGAGTTCTCTAAATAATCCGATAACTGACAATACAGTTCTGAGAGAAGGTAGTGACTGGCTGAGAAGAAATAAACATCTGGGATTAAAACTCAGGTTCACCTAAACTTTGCTATCGTACAGAAGTGTAATACAGCAGTGTCTGGAGTAGTGATAAATGATGGACCTGTTAATTATAGAAGCTAGTTTAAACTGGAATGCTGAGAAGTGAGAGGTGTTGCTTTTTAATTTCATGTTTTACTTGAATCATACTTAGTGCTTAATATGCTTCACAGTAGGCACAACATGCTTGCGTTCACATTCTGCCTTTTGTGCTCCCTGAAAGCCAGACTTTTCAGTTGTTCAGCGCAAAGTTTATACTGCTTTTCTCTGTAGTGGTCAGTAATTTATTTCTAACGTTAATTGCAGTCTGCGTAATTTGTCTGGATTTGCCAAGTTTTGAACTGCTTTATAACTGTTTTGGTAGGCTTCTCTAGAAATCTAACCTTCTTGCAAGCAATTGATTTCTTACTAGGTGTTGAAATGTGTCATTCTGTTTCTCTGAAACCATATTTCATTTTGTTTTCTTACAGATATACTGATGTGATTGATGTTGTACAGGCGCTGCAAACTCATCCTGACCCAGATGTGAAGTCGTCTTTCATCATTGGAGCAGTTAATACTTGTGTAGAGCCACTGAGTTGCTATATGGAACATAGGTATACTTTTAAAACATTTTTACTAGTTTGAAAATAGATATGTAAGTTTGAGATCACTTTTGTAATAATTAGAGATATATGATGGTTAAAGGCTATTGAACTGTCTTAAATCTCGTAAAGCTGCTAGGTAGTCCATCTTGGATGAACTTTGAAGTACTGTTTAGTTTATAAGGATGATACTTGGTTTCCACTAAGTATATAATTATATGTAATATTAATGAAACTTCAGCTTGTGGAAGAATAAACAAAGATTGTCATTAGCATACTGCTTAAATACGTATACTCTGGCTGAGGACTTTGTAAAATCTGGCCTATCCACATCATTCTTTTTCTTACGATCTTTTTGTAAGCATGACTAAAAATTGAGATGTGCATCTCAGTTTGGATTATTGATTGTGTCAATACTTTTGGATATTAAATGAAGACTTTATAGATTTAAAATATGGAACTTATGGGCAGCAGTCCCAAATTTAGTGGAAGAGAATGACAAAGCACGGAAGCAAAAGCATTGCAAGTATTAAAATCTGATATCCTGGGTTACTGCAGGGGCAGGGTGGGGAGGAAACGGTAGCAAAGCCAAGTCACTGACATTTTAAAATAGCGCGGTATGGTTGCTGTTTCATAGTAGATGTATGTGCTCCAGACTTCAACAAACATGCAACTAATTTCATCGACCTATCTGTAAAATTATACTTAAATTTTGCAATTATGCAGTTATGCCTTGCAGCTGATTTGATCGAAGTAAGTTAAAGCAGTTACCATTTTCAGAGTTCTTAGCATTGCTGCTATTTGTGATAAAACTCTGTGCATCATAGCTTAGAGGTGAACTGTCCAATCGTTTTATAAAAGTGCATTCCTTAAACTTCCTAGCTATTTTTAAAACACTAACCAACATGCTGCTTGTGCTTTACGCTAGTCAGTAAAGAGACGTTACCTTAGTGCTTCTTTTGTCTCTGTGACAAAGATTTTAAATAAATAATAAAGGCAATATAAAGACATAAACTATTGTTGAATTGATGCTGAAGCGCTGTTTCAACTTGTTCTTTCCATAATTATAGGAAAGACAAGATCCATTCCTAGGTTTTCTTTTTTAACTTACTAACATGTTACTGGTCATGGTACTGAGTAGTATTTATAGCAGCAGTCGCCTGCAGTCTTTGACTAACATTGTTTGTCTCCTGACGTGCAGTAGCAATTGAAGGAAGAGGCTTAGCCTATGCTGTAGACTATTTGTGTCTCGCTTTGAAGTTTCTTCTGATAAGAACTTACCAAGTAACCACGTGCTACCAGTGCCAAATCTTTCAGTTGGGAAGCTTTGGTGATTTCACTGTGAGACTGGAGAAGAGTGATTTTAATGTCTGACTTGAAACTTTTGCAATCAAGAAAATCAAAACCATTTCTTATCTCAGAAAGTTCATTACCGTAGAGATCTAGCTCTTTCGTGAGCCTAGGATGAAGCTCTTCCCCATGTTGAATAGCAAGCCAGGGCAGGGGAGAGGTAGTTGAAGGGGGACAGATAAAGTACTCTCTCTGGAGCTTTTGTGTGCATGATAAAGCTCATAAAAATAATTGTCGCTTGTCTGACACAGTACCAGAAATGGGTACGATGTGTACAGAAAGCATTATGTACATAGTCTTTCCATGAAGAGTTCCTACCATGTTTGGAAGGCACAATTCGTTAGGGCAAGCTTAAAATTCCTATTGTTTAAATAGGAATTAAAGTAATGTTGAAGCCTTTCTGACTTCCTAGAATACAGAATAGTTTGCATGGTTGGAATTAGCTCTTAAATCCCTTAAAGAATTAAAACCATCTACAAACCTAATTTTTGGGGAAGAACTCCCAAAAGACATAACCCGTGGGGATGTTCGTTATATGGATTGAGGAAAGGAAACATGAAAATGGGTTGGATAGTAAGACTCTAGCTGTCAGTGTCCAACTGAATGTAAATGCTTTACTTAAGTAATAATATCCATTCTTGATATACAAACTTCTGTTTTTTTTTAGGCTTCTTTTTCCCAAGTTCCTGGACCAGTGTTCACAAGGTATGTGTCACTTTTCTTGACTTTGTGCTATACAGAACAAGTAGCTGAGCCATATGGCCAAATAAATACACTGTAAATGCATGTAGTCAAAGGATCATGATAAATTCTTGGAGGTAAGAACCATCTGTGCAGAACAGACAATCTCTCTCGGCCTACATAATTAAACACTGGAGAAGATGTAAGAATATGGAGTATGATGCATTCTGGTTGTCCTCGTCTGGAGGATGGGTTTCCTAAGACCATGAGTTCAGCTGCTTACCTTGAACTGTAACTCGTGCTGTGGTGTTAATCTAGGAGCAAAATGGATTGGATTTGAGTTCTGTCCTCTTTTGGGGAGGCGTGAGGAAATGAAGCTCTCCTTTCTGCTGTTTTAGAAAGGGAAAAATGAGCTGGTTACCTTGTTCCCCATATCCTCCTCTTAATGCAGCGTGGAGGATCCTTGCAGGGTTCATTTGACATTGCAGCAAAAAAGCTCACTTGCAAAAGAATTGTTTCTTACCTGTATGGTCAGTTTTATATCCTGACTCTGAAATGCATCGTCCTCCTTGTCAGGCTTGGAACTTAGAGCAGCTGTTGGTGTAAATGGGATACCATCCTTCCTGACCTACCATCAAAAAGCTCTTTAATTTTCAAGAGCACAGAAGCAAATTCGGCTATAGCACCTTTACCGTTGTTTTTAACAGTTGTATAGCTGACTCACAACGTGAAGACGAGTACACGTGGTGCGTGTATATATCTGACTGGAGAGATCTGTTCTCATAATCTTTATTTTAGGCAGACTATAAGCTCAACCTGAAATTGGGTAGACCAATGACAGTTGAGATTTTTTTTTTAAGTCGTTGTTGGACTGCAGTTACTGCAGCGTGATTTTCTGATCTTACGCTCATGTCTTCCCAAGTGAACTGCAGGACTGTAATTTTTGTGTTTGTATTTAAATGCAGTTGTCAGAGTAGGATGCTGCGCTCTTCTTGTGGCTATTTAGACTCTGTAGGGCTCTGTTTTGCTGCCAGAATTGTGCCACCTCCTATTCCTGTGTGAAGGGAGCCCAAATGAATGAAAACCAAAAGAACTCAAGAGAATGAAATGCAGAACAAGCTGGAAAGTATATAGGTGCTATTATATAAATCAGTATTTTATTCTTACTTGGAGAAAAATGTTGCTGCTACAAATTGGGGGACTGACCAGTAGATAAATATCATGATTATAGCCATGAGTGAAATTGAAGAGAGCAGGAGAATGTCAACAGTTAAGAATATAATGAAGTATCAATAACTACTGAGAAGTTAAGAGTGCAAGCATGCCTTCTTGCTTTATGACAGAATAAAAAAAAATACTCAACGCTATCTTCTATCTTTTTTTAAAATGCAGTTGTACAGACCTGACTGGGTGAGAATTTGTCATTGTTCAAGGAGGAACTAGAAAATGCTTAGGACATGTATAGCTAATTTGCCTGTGGTCCAAACACTGAAAGAAGGAAAAATACCGGAGGTTAGAAGAATGTTCTTCTGGCAGTGAATTACTTCTGTGTGTTGCAAGGTTTTGTCATTTAGTTTTCAGACACAAAATGTGACATTAGATAGCCTAGAGGTCTATTCGTGTAAAGCAAATTGTTTCCCATGAATAGGGGCATTTTTTGTGTAAAAAGTTTTAGGAGAAAAAGTATGCTTTGGTCTGAGATGTGGTACACTCTTAAACTTTCCAGACAAATGCAGAATTGTATCGCATGTATAGTAGATAATTTACTTCTGCATAATTGAGAATTCATTTCTGGTGCAACAATAGCAATATCTCATGAGACATTGGCTTTGAGAGATATTTGTTCTACTTTTTTTTGTGTCATGCACCCCGATATTATTGTTTGTGTTACCGTGGCATCAGTGGGCCAAGACAGTGTCGTACTGGGCATTGTACAAATCTGAAACCAGAAACTCGCAATGCAGGTGTAACACAAGACAAGTATGGGTATAGGCAAGTAGGAATTAATTAGACTTCTGGGTGGTTACCTTGTCCACTTAACTATCTTGTGAATTTTGGGAGTGAGTAGGGTTAGCCTTTTGCTGCTGCTTTCCAGGTTCCTTCTGTTCTGTGGCTTTCTGAAAGGGTACCTATGCGTATTAGCAACATGACATCATTTGACAACATGACATGACACTTTTCTGCTTGGAAAGCCACAAGACTAACGAAAAGATGAAGATCAGGGAGAACTGATAAAGCCTTGAGCAGAGTGAGCAACATTAGCAGTTTTGTTTTGTCTCTCCCTTGCATGCTCATTTAATCTTTAAAAAAAAAAATAAAAATCTTGCCACTCTGTGTGCTGTAATTTCCTTTTGTCTCACTCCTTCCAAATATGCCTTTTTCTTTTTTATTTTTATTTCTTGCACAGAAGCTGTAAGATGACACCTCACTAGTCTAAAGGCCCATTGGTATCTCTTGTGTTGTATATGAGGTTGTTTTACAGATGAAGACATCACCATTGTTAATTATGCCCATTGTACGCTTGGGAGCAAAGAGGATCCTTTTTTTTTTGTCAAGCATGCATATTTTTAATCTATCCCTCCTGTTTCTTTACTGCTTCTATTGAACATGCTATTCCCCAGGCTGCAAAGATTTTTTTTTTTCTTTAGATGAGTGTATAAATAAGGAATTAAACAAAACTGGGTGGTCTTCAAAATGCAGTAAAAATAGAGATGGTAGTGACAATTTAAACAGAAAAGGTCAAAATTGTTTGTTACTTAAGCTACGCAGGCACTTTCCAGTTCTCAGCAAGCTATTTTTTCTTCCGAGTTACACTACCTGTCGGCCAGTTCGGTATCATGGACTGTTGCCTGCTAACCCAGGGCCAATTTTTATGGGATAGCGGCACCTACAAGATTTATGCATAGGTGTGGGCAGAGCCACAGCTTGCAGGTTCCCCAGCCTCTGAGCAGTCTTCTGCCACTTCCAAGGTTGCGTGGGAGTTGGCAAGCAAGAATGACAGCTAGTGCCCGAGAGCCGTTCCCCGTAGACAAGCGCAAATGAAGTGATGGGGAAAGAGGATGGGTGAGACAAGATGCATAGGCTTCTGATTTGCTAGGTATTTTATGCCTTAAATCTTTTTCTTCTTAACTTTAAGCATTGCCAGCTTAGGTCTCGACAATTACCTACTCTCTCCAAGGCATAGTGCTTCTAACTGTAATATATGCTTTGTAGTGTTTATGTTATACAGCCTTTTTATTGTTCTGTGCCAGCTTCACAGAAAGTATAACCATGTTTTTAATTAAACTTGACTTTTAAATCAATATCAAGTTTGGGGATATTAAAGAAAAAAAACCCACTGCGCGTAGCACAATAATGTGGTGGTTGTTGATTAGCTTATTCATACTGTTCGTCTTAATGGCGTGATCTACATAATAATTTCAAGCATGCGTGTGACTTAAATTTCGAAGCGTGCTTGCTGTTCTTCCCGCCCCCTCGTCTCTATCAAGAACAACTGTGTGTTGGAGAAAACTTAGATGTTTCTGAAATTGGAGTGGAAACTTCTGTGGGGGATTAAAAGAAAGAGAAATACCAATGATGGAAATTTGCTTGGGCTATTATAAAAATTCTGACTTGAAAGGGTCAGTGATGCAAGTAACAGTGACTGGGAGCATATGGTATCATGTAAGTAGCCCAGAAACATTTGGTATAGCAATGTCTGCGTAAGGAAGCCTCTGCAAGGATTAATGTACTTTAAAGACTTCTGTAAAGATCGGGAATAACTGTGGGCAGCAGTTCACGGTGTGACCTTCATTACATATTCTGCTTTAAGTAGTGATGAGTTGGGAGCAGGGGAGATGCATCCTGGTTCAATCATTCGTGGATAGTCAGGAGTTTACTGTTCCGTCTTACACTGTACCAGTAGTTACAGGAAAGTGTCTGAAATGAGCTGTACATCTTGAGAAATAAAGAAATAGCATTCCTTACACGTTCTGGACAATATTGACATCCTAGGGAGTCCCAAAGAGTTGGCACTGCAATCTCCTTGAGGAACTGGGCTGAAATTCGTTCTGATGTAACGCCGCCTTGCTATAATTGGAAAGCAGAGATCCTATAACACTGAAATCGGTCGGATGATGTGCGATATGACATCTTGCATTTTTTCCTTAATGAGATCCCTTCCTGTGCCCAAGGCTTGACAGCTGTGATCGTTGGTGTGTTATTTCTGATTGCCTTCAGAGGCATCTGCAGTAGCAGCAGTTGCTTCTCATTTAACATGAAATTTGTCTTATACCTGGCAAGACAGCAGGTATAAATGAAGACTGTGCTGCCATCTTCAAATCTTGGCAAGTTTTTGCTTAAGAAAAGTAACTGTTTCTTCAGTGAAATCGGTGGCACTAGGTGCAAGGTGAAGGGATACTGCTAAGGCTGAAAAAGGAATTGCTTTTCTGGTGACACAGCTGAGTTTTTTTGGGAAATTGGGGCTGGGGACAAATAGTTATCCTATTGTTTTTCTCTGTTATCTTTTTTGATGCCTTGTGGGTTCACACTTGCTGTCTGAATACTGTTTCGGGGTCTGTCTTTAAAAATAGAGACAAAAAAAAAAAACCCAACCAAACCCTTCTCTTGTGTTTGGAAGTGGCAGCTGTCACAGTCCAAAATACTGATTTTTAGCTGTTTAGCCTATATTTCTACACATTGAATTTGCCAAGAGGCTTTAAATGTTAGTGTTTTTTATTAAACTAGTCCTTCTCAAATTGAGTCTCATATGAATTTATTTTTTTAATTAATTATTTTGATTAATTGAGTCTAAATTGCTTCTGTTACACTGACTGTCTAATTGTAAGAAAAATGTCTTGACCTGGTATAGCTGTGTTTTGGCAAAGCAGGCTGCCCTTACCAGTCAAGTCATCTTCAGCGACTGGTGCTGTACTGGTAGGCTCATGTTTTTAATTTTTTTTTTTTTTGGTAAGATTGTTTTCACTGAATCGTAAGAACCCACAGATTACAACATCCCTGCCTCTTTCCCCTTGAGTCATTCCAGTGACTGAAAAGGGTTGTCTCCTTCAGGAGGTACCATTCCTGCGTGTCTCCGGGTTGTGACAGCATGGGCTTCTGAGCTGGCTGCCCTCTTCCTCAGTTGCAAAATAAATAGTTAACGATAATTCTGTGCTTGGTTATTCCACAGTATTCGTGTGTGAAGTTAGATGGGCTTCTGGGTTTTTGGTGGGCAGGCAAGAGATAAAAGGTTCCTTGCTTGTTTGGTTTTGTTGTTTTTTTTTTTCTCTTAATAATGTTAATGTAGTGAGATGGAAGGAAAATAAGAGAAGACCAGCTGTTATATTACTTAATTGTTTATTAGTCACTGTTGCATACCTGACTTCTGTAAACCATCTTCTGATTTCCTTACACAGGACTAGTGAGTAACGTGATTTTCACAAGTCATGCTACAGAGCAGAAGCATCCACTCCTTATGCAACTGCAGAGCCTTATCCGAGCGGCAAATCCTGCTGTTGCGTTCATCTTGGCAGAAAATGGAGTTGTAACTAGGTAATGTTGATCACTGTCCAGTGTTTGTCACTTCAGGCAGATGAGACGCATGCACTTAGAAACTTGTGTTCTCTTGTTTTACTCTGGTAACTTATACAAAGGAGATTTTTCTTAATTGCTTCTCATGCAAAAGGCATCTTCCCTTTACATTTATGGTCATATGAATATAGCGATTAGGAAATGTATGGTTTTGTTTGCAGAGTATGACTTATGTTACTGTTACTGCCATACTAAGGGAAAAATACTCTTAATTTTACTGTGACTTAACACATTCTGTGTTATGTAAGTAGCATACAGATAGTGGCCATTTTATTGAACTTTAAAAATTAAAAATCTTCATCTTTATCTCTTTATAGGAATGAGGACATTGAATTAATTCTCTCAGAAAGCAGTTTTTCAAATCCTCAGATGATGAGAGCTCGATATTTAATGTATCCTGGCTGGCAAGTATCTAGACTGAGAAATATTAAAACTATTTTTCTAATTAACTTGAAGATTAAAAAGTCTCGCTAACTTTAATTTATATTTTTTTTCAAAACTACTCATTTGGAACAGGCAATAGCTTTGTAAATCATTTAAAAGAGAGCTGATGAGTATTCTTGGTAGATACACGATTGCTGTCCTTTTATGGGGAAAAGGATCCTTTCTGGACACCATTTAAATCAATGGCAAGATTGCTGTTGCTTTTCAGAAGAATAGAAACGAACCCTCTGGGAATAAGCTGGGAAGGATTGGGATGGGTGAGGTCAATAATGACTAGAGTAATTTCATTTTGACAGCTATTCAGCCGTACTGGAATGAACTTGCTATGTCAGTCTAGCTATTAGCAGAACAATTATTCATAAAAAACCAGCAACCTTATTGACAGTCTTGGCAGAGGCTAAGGGCACAATAATACATGGTATCAAGCTTTCCATTTAGTACTGAGGGATATTTTTCATGGTTCAGGGCTCTTTACACATCTTGTTGCAGTTATCTGTGCTGCACCTATTTGGCAGAAAATGTAAACCTGTCAGCCACTCTAACTCCTGGCTGACTGCTTTCTAGTTAGGTTTATAGTGCTGGAAGCATAATTTATTTACTATAGCTTGCCAGTCCTATATGTATGTATATCCTTTTATTCATAATTCTTGCTCTAAATTGGATGCAAGTGGGGCTCCTAAAGTAAACCAGTACAAAGCTTGGGATGTCAGAGCTGCTTGTGGATTGCATGGAGCCAAAGGGGGAGAGAGAAAGCAGGAAAAGAAAAATATTTAAAGCTTTTGGACAACTGTTAATCTATTTGATGATCGTATGCAAGAACAGTATGTAGATAGTAGGTAAGAAAAAAAAAATTTGCAGCAGGAAGACCATCAAAAGGAGACCTGAGCGCTTTGAACAACCTAATACTGTTAATAGCACATTTTCATGGATGTCTTAGAGGAGAAAGCTTAGTATTTTTCTTCCAATGAGCAAGGCTTACCTGTGGTAAAATAATAGATGTTCCATTTAAGAAGCTTGTTAGATGAAAAGCACCAAGTGTGTGTGTCTTCTGTATGTTGAAGGTGCGTGTTTGTTTTTGTCTTAAGGTATGAAGGTAAATATGGAGCTGGGTCTGTCTTCCCTCCGATGGTTCAGATCTGTGTATGGTTTAATCGTCCTCTAGAAAAAACACGATTTGTGACCAAATGTAAAGGTACAAATGAACTTTGACTGACTTGATTTAAATCCAAGTTTGAAATACTGAGGAATAGAGGGGAAGGAAGGCACTGACGTAGCACAGTTATTTAATTACTGCTGAAGTAAACTTTTAATTGAAAATTCAGCTTTCCTTCCTTGAAGTGCAGTAAACTATCTTCTTTAGTGTCTGCTCTGGAAAACTGGCCCATGATTTTGTTCAGATGAAAATTTAATTTCATTTTTTGTTTCTGGAGGCCGAGACACTTATGTTTATATGTTTGCTTTTTATTTTATGTTTAATTTTATTTAGTAGTGTTGAAATACAGTTTATAAGTGAGCATCAGCTTCTACTTTTTATGCCGAATAATTCCTTGTAGTTACTAGAAAATAGCCTCAGAAAATAGGCTCAAATCTGTGTTAGGCTACTAGAGCAGATATATAATCATGCCTTTCCTTCTTTCCTTAGCAAAACAGTGTTAAGGAGCACCATTTTACTTTCCACACACACTGTAAGCGTTCATTATGCCAAACACATGTTATTTCCCACCTACCCCATAGCAGAGAAATGAGAACATCTAGAAGTGTTATGTAGTGGGCTCCGGGGGACACTGCAGCTTTTTCCCCTGAAGCATTAGGATGTGGATTAGAGACCTGTAGCATAGGTCTGACCAGAAGCTACGCCAAGCAGAAGAAAAATAAGTGAGATAATCTGTTTGTCTTCTATTTCAAACAGCAATTAAGTCATTGCTCAAGCCAAGTCCTTTTTCTGGAAACATTTATCACATCATGGGCAAAGTTAAGTTTTCAGGTAAGGGCAAATTACTACTTGTGTGTTGTCCTGCGATTGCACTGCGTGTATATATATTTGAAAACTTTTTTATGTGCTGTATTCTGTCTATGCCGATGTGTTGATGTTAAATTAGATTAGCAATTTATCAAGACATTTCTTTCTTCTGTCTTCTCCTTGTAAGATTCTGATAAAGTAATTGAAGTCTGTCACAACACATCATCTAATTCACTAAGCCTCGTGCCTGTTCAGGAGGGGCCAACTCCTGATTCAAGAAGCGATAACAGAGATTGCGGCAGTCAACAGGAGTGCTTCCTTGTGTTCGTTGGCTGCTCTCTTAAGGAAGAGGATATAAAAGACTGGCTCAGAGAAACTGCAAAACAGGTTCGTGGGCATGTTTACTTCTGTTCAGTGTGATCTGTTTTGGCGTTTCTTAATAACAAAAGGAGAAATCCGAGTGTCTTGAAACCTTTCTTTTTAATCTCCTTTCTCTTCTACCAAGGTGTTAGCGTTCCAGGGTGTAAATCTATTTCAGACAGAGGACTAACAGTTTGCAAATGTGTACTGTAATTTGTGTATTGTTTTAGTATCTGCTACAGCATATTCATGGATTGGTCTGCTCTTGAACGCTTGAGCAAATGGAGTATGTCCAGAGTAAACACAAGATGATTTAGTTGAGACATGATTGCCAAAAGCTGAAGTGTAGTATGAAATAAATCATCTTCAAGTACCTGAACACTGCAAATTTGAAAACTTGTTTTGATTCACAAAATTAAACCTCCTTGGAAGTAATCCACTGAAATGGAGGGTATCGGTTTTTTTCATTTTGTCTTGCTTAATTTGTCAAGCGTGCAGATATGTAAGACTTCATGTATGTCTGCATGGCTAACGTACCTATGCAACAGAAGGTGGAGCAGGGAAGAGGGGATACGCACATCGTAAGGAGCCTAGAAGGCACGCTTTGCAGTTGTGGTGCCTTGCTAACTTCACGCAGTGACTGGCATGACCTAACCAGGAGCACAGGACAAGATGGTTCGCTGCTACACAGCTAAGTAATACCAGCAGGTATTACTTTTGCCAGGCTGCACATTAAGGTCTTAGGAAGTGAGTCTTGAGGTTTGGTTCACAAAAATATACTTGGACAGAAACTGTTCAACCATACAAATTGCATATCTATTTGGAACCTGAGCCTATAGTTCCAACCGTGCCCTTTCGTGATGCCCATTTTGGAACATTTTTTCATTAAAAATACTCGTCGTTACTTCTTTATGGCTTAGGATTTGCATAGGATTTCTAAAAAGTTGTGTAGGAAAGAAAAGTTTTCCGCAGACCGTTGTTGGAGCTGTTTCTAAGGATCTTCAGGTTCTCACCCCTGTTCTCCTAGCAGGTTGTGTTACTTCAGGGAAGTATATATTTTCTGTGATGATCTCTCATGTATATATCACATGGGTAATATATGGAGACGAATGTTTTTGATATGTAAGAAAGCACTCCATGGAATACTATTTTAATTTTATGAAAACTTGGAACTTAAATGCTATCTCAGGTGTGAAGTGCTTCCTCCTCGAGCAGTTCAAGGCTACAAATAGTCTTGGTACGGTCTCACTAGTCATGGCTAATTAAGGGTTTCGGATAGTTCTGAGAGTTACTGCATGCTGCATGAAAGAAATGAATTATTAAATTTTTCAGGCTAAAAGCTAGATTGTTTTTCTGTTCATGTGCCAGTTTTTTCTTCTTTTCTTGCTGTGGAGCTGTATAAAATTGTATTGTTTAAAATCCTTTTAGATTTGTCATCTCTAATGGAAATGCCTTATGTAAGATCACTTAATTTTTGCTTTTGTTTTGAGAACGTAGTTGTGAGTGCCTTAATATAATTGAATAATTCTGTCTAGAATTAATTTTTAAAATACATGCTTCTAAAAGGAGTATTTCTGTGCTGGGCTTGAGCATGATAGCTAGCATGTGATTGTAGATTTCATTGCCTTTCCCCAAGTGTTCAAGAAAGAACCTACTTTTCTCTGTGTTTCTTTTCTTAATGTAACTGAACTGTAATACCACATTGTCACTCAGTAGGTATATAACTGGGGTCTAATTCTTCATACAGAAACCTCAGCGGAAAGCTCTGAAAACCAGAGGAATGCTAACCCTTCAGGAAATAAAGAACATTCACGTAAGTAGAAACAATTAATAGCAAGTCCTTCTTCTGGCCGATTTTCTTAAATATCCATTTGTATGATAGAGCACCTCCCCTACTTGCCATAACGAGTGGGCTGAGTGCTAAATTATTGCGGCACTTAGTCTTTTATATACTCGAAACACAACTGAGACTGTCCAGGAGGGATTTGAGATATAAATCTTGGTGTTATCTCAGGGATTCAAGTGAGCTCTGAAAAGCAGGGGGAAGCGTGAGATGTTGGACAGGCGTGCGCTTTCGGTTACTGTAGTTGTCTTTCCTCCCTGCTCTGTCCTGTGCAGGTTGTCACTTGCAAATTAGGATCCCAAATGCCTAATCCTGCCCTCATGAACTACCTTTAGGTTGTAAGGGCTGCCTTTGGAGTTGGGTTCCTAAAAGTTTGGCATGGCTATGATCAGTGCTGCTGTACCTAACTCTCCTAGTCTAGACGGATGTCATTTGTCATACCATCTTTTCAGAGCGCTCCTTTATAACCAGGAGCCATACCGTCCTCCCTGGCTGCCAAGTTCAGCGGAAGGAATTTTTCTTTTATCTATTGAAGTTTGTTAGGATTGTCTCTAAGTTTTGAGTTTTAAATGTTTAATGTACAGTACGTTCTTTCTTGATGTAGGTGAAACGCCACTTGGATCCACTTCCAGCTGGTTATTTTTACAACGGGACTCAATTTGTGAATTTCTTTGGTGACAAAATGGATTACCATCCATGTATCCTTTAAAATGCGGGGGTTTTGGTGAAGGTTTTAGGTAGGCAACAGGCTACGCACATCTGAAATGCAGACTGTCAAAGCAGATGACACGGTGAAGAGCCACTTTGATTCGCAGGTAGTAATATGAAGTGAAAAGTTTCGTTCCTTAAATCCATGCATGGCTACTTGCCATTTAAAGCTTACTATTAAAATACTTTTTCAGAGTTATGATCTAAGCAGCAGACTAGAACCAACAAAACAATCCCAAAACTGTACATGAGCTCACGCAGAGAGTAATTTATGGACCGCAGCTTGTCCAAGAAATATTTTTCAAACCAAATAGTGCTGTATTATTGCTTAATGCCTGGTCATGACTGATAGAACTTCCAAATGAATGTAATTTTGCGTGCACGCACATGCATGCACACACTGAAGTAAAAACAGAGTTGTTTTAGGTTTTACTACAGTATCCTTTTTTCTGCCACATATCTTTGTGGTGAAGCTGGCGTTAAATGATTGCTCTCTTTTTATAACTCGGTATGAGAAAAAACTTACTGGATGCAATGCAGTAATATGAACAGGGTGTTCAGAATTAGGTGTGGAGGTGCATTTTTTGTAATCACTTTTTAAACTCACTTAAGCAAGTTAAACCTTATTGTAAAAACTACTTCAGCTTAGCAAGCAGTGTGATTTACTTACCAAATTGTGGCATATACACGTCTGTAAATGCGCTGTCCTTGCTGGTCTTGTTTGGTATCGGTTACAGAACATGAACTACAGCTGAAGTAGGGTCCGCTGGACTTCTTTCCAGAAACTATTTTCATTTTTTTTTCTTTAATTTAAACCTGATCATATTTTTGTCTTTGGGAGAAACACTAGAGTAATACTAATGTTCCAGTGTATTCCTGTTCTTCTTTCTTGTTTCCATAACTTTCTATTGTTTTTGTCTTTGTTTTATTACTGAAATTTCAAATTTGGTTTTATATTCCCAGTTTACTTTTCACTTTAACTTTGACAAACTTTACAAAAATCCAAGTGATTCTGTTTTGGAATAAGAACAGTTATTTTCTGTGCCCTATGGGACAACTTTAAAATTTTAAACCAGCAGACTTCTGTCTGCAGGGTAAACTCCTAGTTATCGTATACTGGCAGAAAATAGCCTGACAGCAAACTTGGACTTCAGTATTCACTGGACCTTTACACCACCACCATCTTGGTGTTTGGCAATAAAAGATACAGGCACTGGTTAACCACTTCTGGATGATTTGAATTTTGGGCAGAGCTTTTTAGACTTCCACTTAACCAAAATAGCTGTCAACATCTGCAAACCTGCTGTAGCTTTGCTGTTCTTATATTCTTCCTCGTGATTGGGAAATGTCTATTGTGCAACTTCTTTATTTCCCCGTAATACAGAGTAGTTGTGGTTAGGCCTGACTGCGGGACTCCCGGAAGGTAATATATTGACTTTCTGCTCTCAGTACGCGTCCCTGAACTGGCATATCCTTCAAACCTGTATTTTCTTTTCTAGTGAACGCTATTTGCACAAATGTGTTTTCCTTAGTTTTTCAAAATCAGTAATGGACCAATTCATGAACGATTACTTGGAAGAAGCCAACAGGGAAATAGAAAAGTACAACAGAGAACTAGAAGAACAAGAGTATCACGATCTCTTTGAGCAGAAGACATAAGCACATGCGTTCTGTGCATTTCTGAACCACCTACTGTCAGTAACCAAAAATGCTCTCGTCCTTGCTGGTTAACTAGAAAATTAAGTGAAGTAATGTCAGTTTTCAGCACTCCTTTTAAAACTAAAGATCATTCCTGTAAGGTTGGCATTTTAATATGGTAACTGCTTAGCTGTTTGTACTGTCAGGTTTGCTTCCACTTCACCTTAATTCCAGACTGTAAAAAGCATCACCTGGAATCTCTGGCTAGTAGTGGAAACTTATTTAAAAGAAGAAGAAAAGAAGCAAAACTATATTTTCTAGTAGGTCAGAATGTAATCATGGAATTGGTCTGTTGTGCAGATAATCAAACCACTTCAATCTCTGGATGTCCCTTGAAACGTGTGGCACAGGAGCATTGATGAGCAGTGCTGTACTTCAGTCTGTGGGATTGGGGGGTGTTCCTAAAGCGAGAAATGGGGGAACATTTTAAAAATCTCCAAAGACTACCTAATCCCACAGCTGTTAGGGTGTTCCCAAAGCGAGAAATGAGGGAACGATTAAAAAACTCGGAGGAGTACCTGATCCCACAGCTGTTAGGGTGTTCCCAAAGCGAGCAATGGGGGAACATTTAAAAAACTCTGAGTACCTAATCCCACAGCTGTTAGGGGGTTCCCAAAGCGAGAAATGGGGGAACAATTAAAAAACTCTGAGGAGTACCTAATCCCAAGGGTGTTCCCAAAGCGAGAAATGGGGGAACAATTTAAAAAACTTGGAGTAGTACCTAATCCCACAGCTGTTAGGGGGTTCCCAAAGCGAGAAATGGGGGAACAATTAAAAAACTTGGAGTAGTACCTAATCCCACAGCTGTTAGGGGGTTCCCAAAGCGAGAAATGGGGGAACAGTTAAAAAACTTGAGGAGTACCTGATGCTACTGCTGTTAGGGTGTTCCCAAAGCGAGAAATGGGGAACACTTAAGCATCTGCTTTTTTCTGAGGGGACAGCATGTCTCATAACCTTTGCACAGTTTGAATCTGCAGTTGAAATTTTGACTTTTCCTTAGAAAAGATGTTTATACATTTCAGGGTGAAACGAGATAAGTGGAGATATCTTGCTTTCTTCCCAGTGCTGTTATTGGTGTTCTAGAAAATATGACATGAATGGCGGTCATCTGCAACTTGCTGTTGCTTAAAAGCTTATTTCTGAAGGATTTCTTATTTCAGTACTAAAAACTAAGCAAAGCAGAAGAGGGAGATCCTTTAGCTAAAGAATTTCTTTTCATGAAAATTACTTATTTCCAAAGGTAAAAAATATCAAAAGATATACTTGAAATATGAATTAACTTGTTTGTGAAGCTTTCAGAAGAATTTGCACGCCGTAACATTTCACTAAACTGGTTTTAAGTACTTGCAACAAAACCTTTATAGTTACTAAACGATATCATAACAGGAATTCTGGCAACTTGTCCTTTAACTTAATTTAGTACAATTTTAAGTGAGGCTTCATAGATCACTGACTGAAGGATTATAAGGTACCCCAGCAGCTACTTAAAGGTAATTATTGAAGCGTATTTGAATAAGCAGATTATTGCAGCGTGCTGTGCGTTCAGAATTTAGTCAAGTGAAAACAGTCCGGGAGGAATTCTTTATTTTCATATTCCTTTGCCTTAGGAACAGCTCAATCTTTTAATACAACTGCAGCTTTTCTTTTTGGTCAGATGTATGTAAAGCAGTAAGAAATCGAATGAATAATCTCCCACAGTACACTTACTTCTAACATGTCCACGCAGTCTCTCCTCGTGGCAGGAAAATGAGATTTAACTCCTGCCATCGAACCGAAGGCTACATACGGTTTCATGCCTTAAGAAATGCGGTTTTTTACCTTTGGAATCTGAAATAGCTGAAAATTCAATAAGCCTGTCAAAAACTGAAACACCTTTTAGGTAGACTTTCAGAACCCGTTGCTACTACCTGGCTGGGTGCCTGTGCTGTGGGGGTTATGCAGTGCAGAGGCGGAATTCCAGGTGCTGCAGATCGGGATCTAGCCGTTGATAAGGTTTCGTTACTAGCTTTCCTACTAGATTTAAAAAGCTGTCTGAATTTAAGAATTTTTTTTTTTTTTTTTGCACACCACGAGACTTTATAAACTACTTGTATCCTGTTGAAGTACAATAAAAGCCAGCGATTAGTTTGTGTTTCTAGGCTTTCTGGGGTAACCCGTATTACAGGTATAGAGCATCATGATAAGGCTCGTGAGTTTATCTATGCATGGCTATACTTTAGTCTTAATATACTGTAGTGCCTGGTAGAGTAAAGGTAGCTAGCAGTGGATTCGGGGGGCTAGCGGGTGTTTACAAACTAAGTACAGCTGGTTGCATGAAACTATTTATCAGACCAGGATTATTAGAGTACAAAATTCTGGTCGTAACACTGCAATAAAAAGGGGCATTAGGAAATTCTTAACAAATGAATAGTTCTTTGCCAATAAACTTAGTGTAAACCCGGCGCGCTCCTTTTCAGTACGAGTTATCTAATCTGCAAAGCCATATTTCTAGAATAGTGGTATGACTGTGTACTGTCAGAAGAAATACCAGGGGTTGGGACAGCAGGCACTTCATTGATGCTTCGTCTCAACTTGCAAGTCAGTAACAGAGTAGGTTTAAGTGCAATTGATTGAACGATAGATGAAGATACTGTAGTTTATTTTGCTCTGCTGAACTCATTTTTAAGAACTCCAATTTGTGCAGCTCTCGAAAAATAAATGTTGACGGGGCCAATTCAGCTGGGGTTGGCGTAGCGAGTTGCAATTACAAGTGAGATGCCCTGTGAACAAAAAGGAAAGAAGTGTTCAGAATTGGCGTGCTGCTGGGCAAATGGAGCTGTTCCTTAAAAACTGAAGCAGAAGAGCTCAGAACAAAGGCCTAGTATACTTATATACTGTACTGCATGCTATATGGTAATAGCTGTGTATTATAAAGACCTTTCACCATACTGGTACTATTTCAATTAATATATTTTGGTATTGAAATAATTTGATTACCTCAATTTTTTTTTTATTTTTTTTAGTTTTTAACTGTGACTTTAAAACAGAAAAAATACCGAAATAGTGAAACTGTGACAATGGTATCCTTTAAACTTAGTAGTGCCTTGCAGATGACACCATTTATTCACAAAGCATAAAATAAATGGATGTCATGGGTTGTATTGCTTGCACCCTCTTTTTTTTTTAAAGGAAAAACGGTTTTGGTGAAAGGACTTAAAATTAACCTAGTGAAGAATATTAGCACAAATGGTTAAACTGTTTAAAAGAAAACTCTTTGAGGACTAAAATGTGTAAATGCCTGATGCTGCTGATAGTTTAATAGCAGTTGCTGATTATTTTGGAGTTACTTCTAACAATCAGCAGCACTTTTTTTTAGGAGAAGAGCGTAACTTTTGTACTCTGGTCAGAGATGTTTATACTGTATCAAACCCCGTCTGTAGGGTAATCTGGTTTCCTCACTCTTTTGAAGTCGAGGTGAGGATTGAGATACTTCTAAGGATCTAGTTTTGAAAATTTTTTTAGCTACTGTAAAACTAAAAAAAAAAAAAAAGCACCATTTCTAAACCACAAATGTTTGGATACAGAAAAAGTGCCATTACACTGTTCCTTTATCTTTTACTGTATTTTGAAAATTGGTAACAGTAACTTTGTGTCCAGGCATTTCTGATATTGCGAAGAAGTGCTGAGAGTCCTCAAGGGGTTTACGTGCTTTGCTGACCTTCATGTTAGCAGCTTGTGGTGGTGTTTTTTTTTTTTTTCCTCACCGAGAATGAGTGTGATCAGAAGTTACTGAAGTTATAGGGAGAAAAATGTGATAAACTTAGGAGAGGAACCTTTGCAACTTGAACTGCGCTGCAGTCTTGGAGTATTTTATATTAAGCTGTGCAATTTGGTATTAGTCCTGTTTTACACTTTGCAATTAACAAAACTGATTGCAGGGAGGATTTAAGTTGCACGTAAAAGTTCCCTAGTAAGTTTTTTATTGTTATTTTTTAATTGAAACTTTTCTGAATTTGCACAGATTTAAGCTCTGGAATACTTTTGTATTCTTAAAAGGGAAAAATTGTAACTAGTATAGTGAATTGTAAACTGTGAGTTGTTAGAACCGCATTGTTGATCTAATTTTAGATTGTTTAAAAACGTACCTCAGAAAGCTAGTGAGAAATTGCTTCATTTTTACACGATGGTCGGATACTAACGTAACACTTCTCACTTGACCATGTGCCAAAATTCACTTTTATACTAGTTCTCAATGCTTTAATATTTGCAACTTTAAGTTAAAAACTTGTATTTACAAACACTACTGTAACTTCAGTTAAACTGAATTGTGTGATTGAAGCTTTTAGCCTGTTGTATTTATTACACAACTTGATTCAGTAAATATAAAATTACCTTTCCATTTATTTTTGTATTGTTTTACATGTTTATACCTGCAGTTCGTGTGACTTTTACACCCGTAACTCAGATGTGATGGAAAGAACCAATAAACAGTATCCATCTGCTGTCTGTCTTTGACTTCTTTAATAAACTCACTGTTTCTTAAACTTGGGTGTTTAAGCATTAAGAAGTTTTCTTTTAAAATCCGTTGGTTTTCTAAACTGGCAGAAAGGTGCCTAGTTTATCTGCAAACTAAAAGGTAAAGATTTAAGGAAATTGTTGAGGTTTTTTTAAGCTGCTATTTTAGGTTTAGACCTTCTTGCTTGGGCTTCTGATTGAGTAAAACTTAAAACCAGGTGTAGGATGAAGGACTTTAATCGTCTTCTACCTGCCACCTCTGTCTCCAGCAGCTGTACTTAACCGTAAGTTGGTAGTTGCATGTACACAAATGCAGGAGCTAAATCCGACTCCTCCTACTCATAGAAATGAGGATGCAGTTTGAAGATCAGCTTCGCCTGAACGCCGATCAGGCTGCTGTTGAGAGGGCAATCCCGCCTTACCCTCCTTTTTCTGCTTCGGCCGCGGAGTGGGAGGCTGTGCAGGAGGCAGATCCGTTTGCTGATTAAACTGAATCTGCAAATGATTTCTGCCTCAGTTTCACAATGCTTTTGCATATTTTTTTTCGTAGGAAGGTTTTGCGCTTGATTGTTTTTTATGAACTGTTTATGTAAAACCAGCATGTTTAAAATTCAGCCTGTTTTGCGTACTCCGGGTATGCACGCAAGAAATAGCAGCTTCTGATGCGTGGACTTTTGACTGAAATCCAGGAATTTTCCCTTGCTACGCAGCTAGTTTTGGAAA